ATTTACCTCATTTTAAAACATACCAAGGACATGATGATATTTTTGATGTCCTGATACATAAAACCAGCGAATACGGGTGTCCTATTTTTCACACGACTGTACGTGTGTTTCTGTACAGGTTTCTTGAATGACTATAAAGTTGATAGTATTTTCTAAAAAGTTTTTTTGTTTGGTTTTTTTAGTTGCCATTTGGAACTAAGCTCTAGCATTTTTTAATTAGTTAAAATGTTTTATATGTATGCACCCACCCCTGCTATGTCTTCACCAAACCACACAGTTTATTAACGATGCCTAATAGGGTATGCATGACTGAACAAAGAGAAAAACAATCCCTTGAATTGGCATATTCCCACCTAACAGATGTGATGAAGCCCTCATAAATTATTCAGCATTGTAGATGAGTATAAGAAACGAATGAATGTTTTGGAAAATGCCATAAGATTCAGAGGCGGCTTTATTGTGTTTCAGTTCAGTTAATATCCTCCAAGCTATAAAACTGGCAGCGATAAAATATATGCAGGTTTTCAGACCAGGCCACTCTAAAGCTGAGCTATATGTGAGAGGGACACAGCCCCATGCTTTGTGACTGCTTGCATAAATCTCCTGTATCCATTTAGAAGTGGTCAGTGATGCAGTGCAAAGCACACGTCCCCACATGTCCACCCACACTATACCTCACCAGCCCACTAAACCAAATACATCACATGTGTAAGCGACACTGTGCAACAAATCACACAAGGACATTAAAAACACGGACAAAAACTACATTAGGCTGTGGTTCACCTTTCACTGACCTGTCTCTCTGAGTCAGTCATTTAAATGTATATTGACAACGAAGGGTTGCCGTAATTTCTGTTGCAGATACATTTCGGTAAGTCAGCTATTGTTGGAAAAAGAAAAGAGAGAGATAACAAGAGAAGAGAGCAAGTTTCCATTCCAAGGCCGATTCCTGTCCTATATGGAGTTGTTTGATTTGACCATCCATCAGCTATGATAAGACCTTTGATTATTTGCCGTCTGGAACATATGTCATGATCTGAGAGACCAACTGAAATTAAATGATGATGGAGAGAACAGTCTATCTTCCATCAAATAACAGAGTCTTATCAATGTTTTTTTTTTTTTTTTAACTGTGAGCACTTTTGGCCCTGGTGACTTTTAGGAAAACGTATTTGTCCAACAGCTTATAATATGCACATTGTAGGAAACAATGCTGGCTTTTTGTTTTCACTGTCACATTTTTAATAAGACTTTAATTTAACAAAATGAAAAAGGTTGAAACCAACCACATACACAAAAATAAACCCCCATATACACAAACCTAAAAAGTGGGCTTATCCTGCTTAAATGAGTAGCTACCATATGGCTTTAAAGGCTTTTAAAGAATGAGTTACATGCACCGCTGCTTGTTGTTGTTGTTGTTGAACAACAGAAACAGCCAATGGCACAAATGTTAAGAATCTTCTTGCTTTCTTTTTTTTTTAAAGAGACATATCCCTCGCTGTAGTTGCATTACCATCCTGCAATTAGAAGATGTTTCATTTTTTTCAGTCCGGTAATGACTCATGCCATGTCACAGGAAATGAATGTCATTATTACACTGCTGCTAGTCTCTGTTTTTTGTGTGCAGCATGCTGATTATTTTGCACTCTTTTTTAACCTCCATTTTGCCCATTGAGAGGAACATAATTTATTATAATTTACATGTCTTAATTACTGTTATCTGACCAACATAAGGAGCAAGAAGTGAGAGAGATTCCTCTAATCTGGAAATGAGAATAAAGCCACATCTCAGGCCAGTCATAACTTCAGACGTAGATGTATCATGTCGACTGGCCGCCTAATGAAAATTGAAAACAAACAAATTTGAAAACAGCCCAGCAGGTGCACCTCAAACACTTCTTCAGCTGCTTTCAACTAAACATTATGTAAATGGCAAACATATTTTTTTTGAAAAAACAAACAATTGTTGTCTGTCGTCTTGTTTGTGGATAAAAAGAAGGCAATTTTAGGCCGCTTGGATTCATTCTCGTTGTACAAATGAGTTGTTTTGCACATTGCAGAAACTGAACGTTATAATACTGTAAGCAATGCCATGAGGCATGAGACACAGTGCTTATGCACTTTAATTAGTGATGGGTTCTTCTTGATTTATCACAAACCGTGATGAATTTCTCCTCTCCCTCTGAGCTATCACTTACCCCAAATGCCAGCTCATTGTGTTTCATCTCCAGGGCTGAAATTGAGCTTGTACTGAGCTTGTACTTTTCCATCACTGAACCATCCCCTGTCAATGCCAGAGCAATGTAGTCTTAATTCAAATGACTATGGTCTGCCGTCAATCACTTGTGCCATGTGGAGATAGACATAATTGCTTTTCACTTAAGGTGCTGATAATTATTGTCCAATAGTTCAAGGGTCGTCCACAGGTCGGCGATCTAGTTAAGGGGCATTGTTATGTAAAAGAATCTGTAAAAGTGGATCTGAGACATCACACTGTACACACTGAAACAAAGAATGATGGATGGGGAATGAATAAGAGGATGGATGGATGTTAGCTGATTTTGCCAGATGTTTGTCACTATCTATGCAACACATCTTCCGTGGCCCAGCTTGAAAAAGCAAGCTAGATTCTTCCTTGTAGATTTCACCCACTAGAGAAAGCACTTCACTGATGTACTTGTTATGAGCACCAATGACCACTAGAGCGTTACTTGTGTCTTAAATATATATTGATTATAGAGACGAGAGCATGCACTAAGTGCTCTTAATGTCTTTATTTAGTAGGGCAGCAAAAGAGGAAATCTAGAAGAGATTGTAATAGAAACACAGCAGAAGTTAGACCCCATAAATTAATACTGTAGTGTTACTGTCAGGAACGACTGGAAGCAATGTGCAGAAAGTGACGTTTATTGAAGAATAAACAAAACGCTGCTCAGCACACAAAAACACTGAGACAACAGACAAGGCCATTGACGCAGGGACTTCGACAGGGAACCGGGTGGTGAAAGATGGTTTGAGACGAATAATCCAGCTCCAGGTATCAGTGGCGGTTCTAGAATTTTTTTTGTAACAGGTGCCATCAAAGGAGAACTCTGCCGCAAAATGAACCTTTGGTCTAATAAAACATCGGTGCCTAGTCAACCGTTCTCTGAGATTTGTTTTCATGATAATCGAATGTAAAGAGTTTTATCTCTAAAAACTGTTTAGCGTATAACGCTAGTAATGGGGGCATTTACTGAGTAAAAAGAAATCGCTAGTTTATCCCACTAACAAGGCTCAAAATAGCCCCACACTAACACAGTAACATAATGAGGGTCCATACATGCAAAACGAAGCATTGAGAACTGTGTAAGTGTACAGACCGTTTAATAAGATGATACTTTATAAAGACAGTTCACTTCGTGTATACAGACAGGAGCCATCTTGGAACAGTCACGACAAGTCAAACCACGAACGTCCTGCTGAGTGAGCTGAACTGTATGAAGTTCAGCGAACTTTTGAACTATCTGAACGGCATTCAGGGATCGACTTATCAAGACTTTCTAAGATTTTCTAAGATGGCTCCTGTCTGTATACACAAAATGAACTGTCTTTATAAAGTATCTTCTTATTAAACTGTCTATACATTTACCTCAATGGTATGTAGTTACCTCATTATGTTACTGTGTTAGTGTGGGGCTATTTTGAGCCTTGTTAGTGGTATAAACTAGCGATTTCTTTTTACTTAGTAAATGCCCCCAGTACTAGCATTATACGGTAAACAGTTTTTAGAGATAAAAGTCTTCACATTCGACTATAATGAAAACAAATCCCAGAGAACGATTAACTAGGTACCGATGTTTTATTAAACCAAAGGTTCATTAAATATATATATAGAAGAATAAGAAATAAAATACTGCTGCAAAGTTCTCCACTAAATAAAATAAAATACTCAATCCAATATCACATAATAAAATATAATCAAAAATATAAATAACTATGGATTACAGTGCAGCATTACCAATCCCAGCTTGTGGGCCTGCTCAGATTAAAAAGATATAACTTTTCCAAAGTGAAAAGTGTACATGTTTTTTGTCAACAAAATTAACTTGTCCACATTGTCTGAAGAATTGTAGTTCCTGGCCTTTCCAACTTCCACTTAAACACTGTCTCCTTAAGTCCCTCAGCCTTGCATGTTCCACTCTGGAGTAATGTGATGGGCAGTCACTGTTAAGTAGGTCTCAGTAGCTCTAGATGTCCGACTATCAACTTGTGAGTGCTACAGCAGATGCCTTGGGCAGGTCGTGGACACCAGCAGTTTTAACCTGTTTATACAGGGTGGGTATAACTTTTTGGCTGAAATGTGGACTAAGGGATTTCATACCTGGGCTCAGTCACCTTCATCATGTGCCTAAAACCAGTGTTCTCAAAAAGCGAGTATGGTCGTAGATCAGCTGCTATAAAAACACCAATTTCATTCATTATTGCGTTGACTCAATCAGAATTACCAACAAAGGTCTGTTTACATGCCGATGAAAGCTACATTTTAATTACGCTTTACGGTTTTTTTTTTTCCTTGTGGTAGTGATGTTCACATTTGTGTGATACCTTATTAAATACACACACACACACGTGTGTGTGTATATATATATATATATATATATATATATATATATATATATATAAATATATATATATATACAGAATATATATATATATATATATATTATGATCAGGCACCAGTCCACTAGAGGGAGCCATCACCTGAATATTGAAGTCTGCCACATCAGTTCCTGTCTTGTCATTTCCTGTCACCCTGTATTTAAGCAGTGTGCTTTCTCTGCCATATTGCAAAGTATTACAACTCCCATTGTTGTGCGTGCCATTCATCGACAACCATCACCTCATGTTGCAGCATGATAATGCACGCCCCCCCCCCCCAACAAAATAACCATGAACTACTGTACATGGCTTTCAATCTTCTAAAAGCAAACCCCAAAAAATCAACAAGATTTTGGCCATTTTGTACCTCTTTTATCAAATGAAAAAGACATAGTGCATACATTGATAAACATTTAGTACATTCATTAATAGATAGAATTCCATTCATTATATGTACATAAATACTAATATTGTCAAAAAAATGGGTGCAGGGATTAAAATCGTGTCATTGAATGCTGCTAATCAACCCAGTAATGCACGGAAAAAAGACAAAAATCCAAGTGGCAGTAACCTTTTATCCCTAGTGGATGCTGCAACTGAAATGGGCTGTGCTTCTCCTGTGTTCAGCTGCAGTTGTATTGAAGGCAGGATTTAAACGGTACTCTACTCTGCTGTTTGTAATATGAAGGCATATTCAAGCAGATCTCACCAAGAGAGGTGGGCATTTCACATAGTGTGTAAGACCGGTAAATACTCAGGAACTTGTCTAGCTGTCAGGGCGAGGGACCGACAGATGCTACGGTACGGCTTTAGCAGCGTGCACTGCTCAGTCTTCATGGAAAAGAAAGTCGTTTTGTTTTCCCACCTGCCCGTAGATAATTCAGCTATCTGTTGGCGGAGGAAAAATGCTCCCTTTCCACATGATTTTATTTACAATCACCAATTTATCTTCACCAAGGCTCAGCGTAATACCTGCATGCCTTGTACAATACTGTTATTTATGTCCATTTTCAACCGTTTTCAAAATCCATATAAAAAAAACCCTCGCCTCCCAGTTAATCAGTATTCTGAGATATCCGGTCAGAGGAAGGCCACCTGTGCAGTGCCGGATGTATGTCCTCTCAGCACTGCTCTTCATCCAGGGACTCTGTGTTGTCGGCCTGGTCCACCGAAGCCGGCGGAGAGCGCATTTTCCCACGACTGCTCCCGTGGCTGCTTCCATGGCTTGGGTAAACATCTATAGAGCTGGAGATGGACTGGACGGACGAATCACGGAAGTAATGGAAGGACTCCGGGTCCAGGAAGGTTTGCTCCTCTCGCAGGCCTTGTTCAAAAAGCTTCCGTTTGTGCCGGAACTCAATCACCGTCTTTGTGTAGGAGTTGAGGGTGGTGACAGAGGCGGCCATGCAACAGGTGAACGAGCCCCAGGCCATACTGTGAAACATACATGTATAAAAAAAGATAATGAGATTTATTTGCAGCTATTTATGTGCATTTATTTTTTGCATAGTGCATTGGCAAACAGGATGGATGGTGGCATTTGTTGAATGTGGCATTTTGCTTTTGTGGATTAACAAAGATACTTGTTGACATTTAAAGTTAGGGAAAAAAAAGCAGTCCCAGATGTATTTTGAGCTGTCCAGTCTATTATATATTATATCAGTTTGGTGGAATCAGTTTGAAATGAAGCCCACAGCAAGTGGCATCCAGCACGACAGCACACTTTAAATCAGGTGTTTGGTAAATCACTGTACTGGTATTTGTATCAAGCTATAGTTCATTCATAAATGAGATTCGCTCACTCACAACACCCACTCAATTGGAAAAAAAAAACAAGGACTATTACATATCAAGCATCATATTATTTATTTATTTTTTTTCTGAATAACTTTTTTTTTTAAATAAGCATTTTGATATCTTTATCCATTTTGCTCACCTGCAGTAAAAAAAAGAGTTGCATTCCCCAAAGATTTTCTGTGATTTTATAGACTGCAAATTACCTTGAAGGAGAAGGGTTTAAAAAGCTCAAGTTTCAATTACTCTTTTATTTTCAGATTCTTGCCATTCAGTAAGGTAGTAAAGGTACAGACATAGAGGGGGGAAAACAAGAAATTGACCAGATGGCAGAGGACAAATGAAGCAATTTTAGCCTAGAATAATGGATGCCAGCCAAGCATCTGTGGTAATTCAGTCAATGTAAATACCACTTTCATGCCTGTCAGAACCCCAATGCATGTCTCTTATTTCCAAGTGCCAAAATAACACACATTTGTTGGGATATCCAATACAGCCATTCCCTCTCTGGTCTAAAGGACAGGCATGGTCCTAAAAGATTAAGTGATAGAAACTCACTCTAAAAATTCTCTGTGGAGCTGACATGCAGAAAAAAAGTTCACATTTAACACTTTTTACGTTCTTATAAAGGCTGTAAAATAACTTTTAACCCAACATTATATTTTACCAAAATGACACAACATTTTTTTTAAATCACAGAATAATCATTTATACTACATAATGCTTATAAATATAGCCTATAAAAATCTGAGTGTCATGGCGCTTTTCCACTGCATAGTACGGTACGGTTCGGCTCAGTACGCTTCGACTTGGCGCGGAACAGTTCGGCTCGCTTTGCGTTTCCACTGCAGTAATACCCCTTCAAAGTGTGTGGGACTGATCGTTATTTGCGCGTGCCTCTACTGCCATGACATCATCTTAAAAACGCCACATTTTCAAACCCACAACACAGGAACAATGGAGACTATCGAGGGGATGGTGTTCCTGATTCTCGGTATGTGGCTGTTTTTAACTGCTAGACGGAAAAATGTGTTTAAAATGAGGCTGATGGCAGCAAAACAAAAATACTGCTAAAAAAGTGTCTCGTGTCGCAAATCCAATGACGCTAGTAGTGATGCTGGTAGTGACGATTCTGTCTGACCAATCAGTGATCTGCAGTGTTTCACGTCACATTTTAGTACCGGTACGGTACGCTTGGAACCTCAACAGACCAGGTACCATTTAAAGCGACCTGAAGCGAACCGTACTGTACCGTACCATGCAGTGGAAAAGCACCACAAGTGAGCCGTACCGAACCGTACCGTAAAATATTTATAGTCAGTCTGAAATAAAGTCAGTCAGAATTTGGCGTAAACAACATAATGAGAACATGGATCCATCATGCCTTGTTACCACTGTGCAGGCTGGTGGTGGTGGTGTAATGGTGTGGGGATGTTTTCTTGGTACACTTTATGCTCCTTAGTGCCAATTGGGTATCGTTTAAATGTCACGGCCTACCTGAGCATTGTTTCTGACCATGCTCATCCCTTTATGGCCACCATGTAGTCTGATGGCTATTTCCAGCAGGATAATGCACCATGTCACAAACATCAAATCATTTGAAATTGGTTTCTTGAACATGACAATGAGTTCACTGTACTAAAATGGCCCCACAGTCACCAGATCTCAACCCAATAGAGCATCTTTGGGTGGTGGAACGGTAGCTTTGTGCCCTGGATGTGCTTCCTACAAATCTCCATCAATTGCAAGATGCTATCCTATCAATATGGGCCAACATTTCTAAAGGATACTTTCAGCACCTTGTTGAATCAATACCACGTAGAATTAAGGCAGTTCTGATGGCGAAAGGGGGTCAAACCAGCCCGTTCTCATCCTTTAACGTCATATAGAACGCTATATGCAAAAATGGCGCTATACTACGCACATGGCACCCTTTATCGTTAATATAACACGCGAACCCAAGACGTTATAAATCCTTTAGCGTGAATATGACACGCACACCCTACCCCACACCTAAACTTAGCCCTCACAGCGCGTGTTATATTAACGATAACGGGTGCCATGTGCGTAGTATAGCGCCGTTTTGTCATATAGCGTTCTTTAAATGTCTGATATGCTCTAACTGTAACACAATGTTTCACTTCGTTTTGGTCCGTTTGTCAGATATATGGGTTAACATGGCCTCAGAATATTCCTCAGCGAAACTGAGGAACCCATTTTGAAGTTCAATTAAATTTTGTTTCTACATTGTCTATTCAGTTTGAAAAAGAGCATTTACTTTATATTGGAAAAAGTGAACCTGAAATGAGAAGGGTCCGCAAGAGCCAGATTCATTTGTTGCAGAATGAGACCATACACCAGCACATCTGTGACTTTTGAGGATGCCTTGCCTCTTTGCCTTGGTGAATTATATAACACTGGATTGAAGCAAAATCACAGTGTACTGGGATGGGATGTAGAGCTATAATACTGCTGTAGAGAAATCCATTTAATTATTGATATGGAACTACTAAGGGTGAAAATACATAGTTTGATTTGGTCACAAATCGAATATCGCTACTTCCCCATGAACTTGAGCAAGGTTGAATGTAAAGTGAATTTGCAATGAAAAACAACATCCGCAGTCAAAGCTATAATGTGACTTCAAAAGGCTCAAAATACGGCACAGAAGTCATTAGCAGTATGGACTACTTTTGCAATACTTTTATAGTGCTATTTGTCATTTTGGAGCTTGAAAACACCAGTCCTCATTCAGTTGCGACTATATTCACCTATACATTTAAACCTTTTGCATTCTAAAGAAATAAGTCAGTCATGCAGATTTTAAATGATGAGTGCGAGGAAAGAAGATAATTTGTCATTTGATTAAACTGCCTCTTTAAAGGAGAACTCCAGTCAATTTTAACATTGATCTAATTTTTTTTGTGCATTTGGAGTGCTGTCAGTACACACAAAAACGTCAAAAATCGGTGTTGCCTTCTACACCGTGTTAACGTCTTTTTAAAATTCTCACCCTGTTGACTTCAATGGGGCATGTAATAAACCTGCTTTCAGCCTCTTAACATCCTTCATTTGTCATTACAAGTGCACAGCCATGTGTGTTGTGGTATTAAGAGTGACCACAGTTTTAATTAATAGTGTAAATGAATGAGTTATTAACTGCAACGATAATAATAATAATAATAATAATTAATTACATTTATATAGCACTTTTCTCGGCACTCAAAGCGCTTTACCCCCTGCTGGCCTCACTAACACCTCCAGCAACCTGGCTTTCTCAGAAGGTCTCCCATCCAAATACTTTGCAAGCTCAGCCCTGCTTAGCTTCAGTGGGCAACCAGTTTTGGGCTACAGGGTGATATGGCTGCTGGACTGGTTATCACTCATGACTATCACTCATGATTATCTGTGTATCAGTTTGATTATCTATGTATTAGTTAAGCATGTGTTAATCCATATTAGTGCACTTGTATTGTATTTTGTGGAAACTGTTTGAGGATTTTTTGAATAGATCACTTTTTTATATATATTCAGCCATGTATCATTATATGGCTGAACAGCTGATGCAAATGATTACACGCCAATGTGCATTGGCCTGTTTAGTTTCACTCAAAGTAGATAGGCCTCTCTAGCAAGATTCCTATTTGTCGTTCTCAACTCCACCAAATAACCAAATGTTTCTGACCCCTAGCTTTTGAACTATAGTGTATGAGATCAACCCATTCATTTCTTATCATCCATCATGTTTTGTCTGATGTGACTGGAAGTATAAGAAGTGCTTACCAGAAGGACCAGCCGTAGTCCCATGTGTGCGGCCTCCAGTCCTCTGGTCCCAAACTGACTGTGATCTGGAAAACTTGTGTGTACATCATGTGTGCCACCATCCCCAGAAGACCTGTTGAGGAATCAACAAATGCAGTTGTTGATTTCTCATACTGTTGTTGCTCATTGGATATAAATAAATTTGTCATTATTTATTCACCCCATGTCATTCCAAACCTGCATGACTTGCAACTGATCATTGAATCTGAGTTGAAGATATAGGGATAGATATTATTTTCTTCCCTTGATAAGTTAAAAGCCTATTTTTATTTTATCCAAATCCTTGTTTAACCACTGTCAGCTACCACTGTCATCTCTCTCTCTCTCTCTCTCACACCCATGATGCACTGGACACATCTCATTCCCAGATCAATGTGTGTCAAGTGTGAAATTGATATTATAAAACAAGCTATTAAATATCAAATATTCAAATATTTCCAGGGTTTGAGTCAGGTTACTACTTTAATAACGTAAACTTCTGTTATTGTACATCACACGCATCACACACATGACCAGTGTCGGCCAATAGTGAACCTACGCGTGACGTAGCTCTACGCTATCACACTACGTTAACTGACTAGAGGCCCATAGAGTAGGAAGTGAACAGTTGAAATAAAGTCGTTATTTTTGTTTGTTTTTGCGCACAAAAAGTATTCTCGTCGCTTGATAAATTTAAGATTGAGCCACTTTTCGAGGACGGCAAGTTTCAATTCCTCTAGAAGCCTATGCAGGAGTGATCCAGCTCTCAGATTTCATCAAAAATATCTTAATTTGTGTTCCGAAGATGAACGAAGGTCTTACGGGGTTGGAACAACAAGAGGGTTACTGTCAGAATTTTCATTTTTGGGTGAACTAACCCTTTAAATCTGGGATCCCCGGGATGCCCTGGGACTCATGAGTGGATGCTTGGCGCGCATGGCGTTGACAAAGGATTCCCGTAGTGGAAGTTAACTAACGCAATACGAGAGAACCTCTCGTAAAAGAACGTATCGGTTACATAACATAACCTCGGTTCTCTCTAGAAGAGGGAACAAGTATTGCATAACTGGCCGTGCTCGTGCCATGAGCGACTTTCATGAGCGCCATGAGCCCCGCTTATATACGCTAAGCCACGCCCATTCTGGCGGGCTAAGACGTGATGAGGGCGCGGCATCACTCCAGGCTCAGTGGTAGGCTGCTGCAGTTGCCGCAGGGCAGCCAACGAGCACACTAGACAGCCTGCTCTAGGTCTGCTAGCTGCTGCACTGCGTTGACAATGAATACAAAATTAAGGATAATTTTTTGGCTTCAATATCTCAAAGATTAATCTTTCCCGTAGCGTAAGCTAACTTACGCAATACTTGTTCCCTCTTCTAGAGAGAACGAGGTTAGGTAACCAATACGTTTTAAAACTATGTATATATTTTAAAATGTAATTTATTTATTTGATGGTAAATCCATGATGGAGTTTAGCCAACCTGATCCTTCAAAAATCATTCTAATATGCTGATTTGGTGCTTATCAATGTTGAAAACGGTTGTGCTGCTTTATTTATTTGAACTTTATTTTGATCAATTTAATGTGTCCTTGCTGAATATGTTTTTTTTTTTCTTTTAAGAAATTGTATTGATCCCAAACTATTAAACGGTAAAGAATAACTGGAAATGAAAAATAAATAAATACATAAAATAATATTTTGTCTGTTACAAGAAACAGTATTTTGTCATTTAAAAGTTCTATCAGCACTGTTACAAAATCAGTATACTTGAAAATTACAGATTTTGAATGACAAAATTTCAGCAGGGACTAACAAAAAAAGCCCTAAACTTTCTATTATCACCATCATTTGTGACTGTGGTGAGATCAAACAGGAGAACAAGGCCGTGTTTCTTTGTATAGGTGATAAATGTAATGAAGTAATGCGCAATTAGTTTTTCTAAGTGTGAGTTGGGGACAAGAGTGTAGGCCTACCTGACAGCACGGTGAAGACTGCGGCGAAGGCGTTCAGTTTGAGTCCATCGATCACATTACTGGAGTGAAAAAGCTCCAGGCACATCAGACTGAAGCCAACGACCAGCAGCATGATGTATAGCACCTCAGACACAACTGACAACCAAAGGACACCTGCAATACACACACATGCACACTGGTGAGCAAAGTGCTCTGTTGACCCATAATTCTCTGTCATTATTCACACGGTCAGATTCAAGTGGAAATTTAACAACTCCCCCCTGCATATAAAATGAACATGCATTGGGAAC